GGAGGGCAGTGTCACTGGCCCTCATATGTGGGATCCGAACCGGGGCCCTCTGGCGTCCCAAGCCAGCTCTTAACCATCGCGCCACTCGGCCGGCCCCCACTCTTCTTCTTTTTGTCAATATTGTTGGTTCTTTCTCAAGAATCTTTTTTTTCGTGTTGATTCTTATTTTCCTCTTTCCTTAAATTCTGCCTCAGCCCCTGGATTTATGTTGTCGGTGTTTTTTGAGCTTCGTGAGTCATAACCTTAGACAATTTACTCTCGGTCTTGTGATTTTTAAATAAGGGTATTTAAAGTTATGTGTCCCTCCTGAGACTCTCCAGCCACATCCAGCAGGTTCTGACCTAGGACTCTCTCACTGTCTTGCTTGGGTTTGCTCCCCAGCAAAGGTGCTGGTCGCAGGGAGTGGGGAGGCAGAAGGTGCCGGTCCTCACAGGGTGTGGAGACCCCTCTCAGCTTTCCCTACACAGTCCCAGCTCACAGTCGGCTTGCCAGGGTCCCCCAGCGGCCAGAGGTGACCCTGGGAGTGCAGAGTCTCAGGACAGCGACAGGCACTTCCTTCCCTCACCGGTGCTCCTGCTGGGAAGCGGGCCCCAGGGTGAGCGCAGGAGGCCTTGGGTGGCGAGGGTGGAGGGCTGCACCACCCAGCTGTGCGCTGCCCGGCAGCACCTCCTGTTCCTCGGGGCTGGCCAGGGGACTGGTCACTCCGTCCCAAGCGTGCAGAGAGGATGCAGACACCTGGAACCACTAGATGCATATCACATCCCGCGTGACAAACGCTGGGGGCTCGAGGAGGGTGGCGAAGGGTTAAGAAATCACAAGAGTCAAAAGTAGAGTCTCTGCAGACTGAGAGACCGAGAGAGCGAGTCCTGATACTGGTGGGCGTAAAGCTTTTATTTACAACGGTCACAAAGAGGTCAATTTGAATATCTATACCCAGTTAATTGATTCGGTTAGGCCGGCAGCTGCTTCACCTGAAACTCATTGTGATCAAGCAGAGTTGTGCTTTCACACCTGCGTATGATCCCCGGGATGGCCTCGGCATTCCGAGACTAGCGGATAAGGAAGTTTCACCGGGATCATTCCCTGGGGTCTCAGCATTCCAAGACACTCCCTTAGGACTTCAAAGGAGCAGGGCGAGGAGCCTTCGAGTTGGCAGCTGCAAGGCAACATGCATTTTCGGTCCTCTTCCAATGTTCTAAGGCTGTGACAGGGAGTGGCCTGGGTGACTGAGCTGCCTATGGGAAGGTGTTGAGGTCCCCTGGAGACTGGGTGAGCGTTGTTTTGGTGAATGTCATGTGTGTGCCTGGGAACCATGTGTCTCTTCTGGGCCTTCTTGTTGTTGGGGTGGGTACAGAGTCATCTACACAGAGTGTACATCTATATGTGTACATGTGTGCTATGTATTTATGTTACGCATCATTTATTATATAAATATAGATTATACATAGACTGTACGTACAAATTTATGTGCAGACTGTAATTTATATGTATAAATAATATACGATATAAACATACACATGTACACACATACATGCAGGCACACACACGCCCGCACCACACAAGTGCACACACAGCGCGACCTTCATCTTGTTAATTGCGCTATTAAAAGTCTGCCCTACTTGCCTTTTGCTTCTTGATTCCTTGATTTCTGAGAGATTACTGTGGATTTGCCAATTTTTCCTTGAGTCCCTAACAATTCTGCTTCACATGTTTAACCCTCCGTCAGGCGCAACTGATCTCACAGATTCATTGCACACAAACTTTCAAATATCTAAGTTAACTGAAGTATCGTGACTCATCGCTTCCGTATCTTCCCCCTCTACCGTAACCTATCGCCAGTCGTGTGACTTAGTAAAGACGTATTCCATAGCGGCATCTTTGTGTGCGATGAATCTGTGAGCTCAGTTGCGCCCGACGGAGGGTTGAACAGCTATGGTGCTGGGTGGACCGCAGTTCAGGAAAGCGCTGCCTGCGTGAATTTGTACCTTTATGCAGTTACTTCTCTTTGGCCTTAAAAGGTCAAGTGTGAACCTCGGGCCCTCTTGCTCTACCATACCTGTCTCCATACCTTGCTTTCTGGAAGCATCTGCCTAGCGCGTCTTGCCCAGGTTGTCAGCTATTACATATCTCTTCTGTTTTAGGTGGCAAAAAAATACAGAGAACAAGAGAAATTTGCTGGTGTTTATTTCAACATGAGAATCACAGTTTATATGTGTCATAATTACTGACATGTTTGGACTATTTCCTACCATTTTATTTCCTATGAACCATCCTCTAAGCCCTACCGATATTTCTCTCTTTCCCTGATGTTGTTGTTCCGCTGAACCCTCTGGGGGTTTTGGTCATTCCCGTTTCTGTCCTAGGGTCGTCCTGACCTGCAGTACCTTTTGTTTCCTCTGGACACCACCCTGGTCAGCATCATTTCTTCTTCCCGACCTTCACCGCCCGAGAGGCAGCTCCCAGGAAACTGGCGGGATCTTAATTCTAAGCTGCTGTTACATTTTCTTTTCCCTTTTTTCGTCACAATAAGACTGAGCCATACATTTCAGTGCTTTCTTTGCTTACCAGAGCTCAGGGGCGCGCGTGCGTGTGCGTGTGCGTGTGTCCCTCCCAAATAGTCTTATGTGGAACTCCTGACTCTCAGGGTGGCTGTATTTGGAGGCGGGCCCTCTAAGGACAGAATGAGGTTAAATGAGGTCGCGAGTGGAGCCCTGATCTGATAGGACTGGCGTCCCCCGCTGAGGACAGGCTGTGAGGACCCAGGACAGAGGCCTCGCCAGAAGCCACCGCTGAGGTCCGGACGGCACTCTTCCTGGTAGTGGCGCTCTGCAGAGCTGCCGGAGCCAGTGTGTTTGCGTTTCCACATTTGTCTTTGAGAAATTCTCCCAGAAAAGGACACAAGTAGCACTTTTTCTGTGCCCTTACGATTCTAAAGTGTCTTTATTTGGTGCTGCCACTTGAATTCTAGTTTGGCTGGGTCTATGATTCTAGATAAAAACCAAGGCGTCACGGTGCCTGAGCACCTGAGGGGGGGGAGAGCTTGAGACCCTGATGGAGCCTGGCCCAGGAGACCGAAGAGGAGGGAGCAGCGCAAGGGGGCGGGGCCGGGGCGTCAGAGCAGGAATCACGGGTTTGGACCCTGGGCGCCTGCAGGGCATCCACGGCCGCCATGGGAGATGCCCTCAGGCCATGAGTAGGCAGAGGTTCCGGTGGCTCAGACACAGCCTGACGCCGCGCTGGTCTGTAACTTAATTAGTAGGGAATGCAGGAGCTGGCCAGGCCTGTTGGGCAGCGGGCTTAATGTCAGTTGGACAACCTTCTTGGTCCTGAAAGCTCCTGCTTTGTGCTGATAGTTTGTGAGTCACTGACACTGAACAGGGCGCCACCCCCACCCCACCCCCGCTCCTCCCAGGGCTCACAATGGGAGGGACGGGGCACTGCATGTGGGAGAGCCCCACCTGGGTCCCAGGCCGTGCACAGGCCGGGACCCCCTGCGTGTCCAGAGCAGGTCTGAGCTGCCATCTTCCTGCCCCTGCTGAGGGGCTCAGCCCTGAAGGTGGACTGGGCAGGAACTGGGTTCCCATAGTGTCCACCTCAGGCCCGGCGAGGGACCGCATCAGGTCACAGTGGAGGCCATCTGTGGGGCCTGGGCCCAAGGAGGAGGCCACAGGGGAACCCTAGCTCCCTGAGAGACACAGGCCTTGGGCTGTGCACACCCGGTGGGGGATGTGCTGATCAGGACATGACCAGGAGGGAGTGGACTCCAGCCAAGGGCGAGGCTGCCAGGAGGATCCAGACCCTCAGCTGGCCGCTCGCCGCTCGAGAGAGGCCGTGATGGCTGGTGGGCTCTCAGGGGCCACCTCCATCTTGAGGAGCTGCCGTGTGACCGGAGCCAGCCTGTCCCCTGCCTCGGCTGCCCTTTCAGAGAGCCCTGTCGCCTTCGGGTTCACGAGCTCATCTGGCGGTTGATTCCAGCGGGCCACGAGGCGCGGCGGGTCCCCAAACCACGTCACGCTGTGCCCCTGGCCTGCGGAGGTCCACGGGGCGTCGTGCAGCCCAAGTCTCCGAGGGGCTGGGGGCGCACCAGCCTCGGCCTGAGCCCTGTCAGTAGTGAGCCCCATACAGAGTGGCCGCCTCCTGGAGGATGGTCTTGAGGTTGGCATACAGCGGGATGCGTCTGTCCACCACCTGCCACTGGATGGACATCCGTGGGTCGCGGGCAAGCAGGTGCTGCAAGGACAAAGGCACATCCTGACCCTCTGAGGTGCCTGCCTCCCCCCAGACACCCCGGGCTTCGCCACGGCCCCGGCCCCCGGCCCTGGCCCTGTCGCAGGGCTGGCCTGGGCTTTCTTCTTCTGTTGCCGGGAGCAAGGACACCGGCTTGAGTCCCAGCTCAGAAAACGCCTGCAGAGCCCGACAGTCCTCGGAGGAGACAGCAGCTCCTTACCCCGAGGTGGTCTCGCCTGCATAGGAAGCCCCGCGTTTTCTTCCCTGGGACCTCTCGGTCTCAGGTCTAGATTACGGACACTCAGGACTGAGCTAAATACAGGGGATGGTATCCCTATAAAGGTGTATGAACACACCTCCCCTGATGAGAGCCTGGGGGGCCCCAGGAGGACCCAATCCCAGGGTCCCCATGTAGCCCTGACCTGCTCCAGCCACCTGCTGGTGCCCTCTGGGCACAACTCTGACCCCTGCAGCCCCCACACTTGGCTGCCCAGGAGCCCGTCAGACCCCTCCTGTAGGACCTAAGTTCCCCGCTCCCTGGAGTCTGCGACCCGAGCCCCATACAGAGTTCAGCCTCTTCAGCTCGTCGCTCTGGTCCGGGAAGTGGACACTGATGGCCACTGTCTCGATCCAGGCGTTGTCCGTGTTCCGCGGGTCGTCCACGTAGCCTTTGTACACCTGGGGGGCAGGCCAGGGTGAGCCAGTCAGGACGGAGCCTGAGCTCCACTGGCTTCCTTGCAGAGGGAGGGACCTCACTGTCCCCAAGCTCGTCCGGCCCTCGGACGCTCTGAGCACAGCTGCCAGGGCGCCCAAGCCCCCGGCCTGGCTCTCTCCCCGTCCGTCCAGCTGCTCCCAACAGGGCTTTCAGCCTTGACTGACCCCACTCGCCTCCCTCCCGGCCGCTGGCCTGGCATCAGACCCGCCGGGACTGTCCTTGGAAGGATTAAAATTGATAGAGGACCCTGAAGACATAACATTAAGTGACAGACGCCGGGCACCAAAGGCCACACGCCATGTGACTCCACCAACAGAAATGTCCAGAAAGGCAAACCCGCAGACACAGAGTGCCCAGCGGTGGCCAGGGGTGAAAGGACGGGAAGGAAGTGGCCCCAGTGGGATGCAGGGGGTCCTTTTGGGGTGATGGGAATGTTTCAGAATTAGACAGAGGGGACGGTCACACCACATTGTCAATGTACTAAATGCCACTGAACAGTTTGCTTTAAAATGGCTAGTTTTATGCTGTTTGGACTTTACCTCAAGAAACAAACTGTTTTTACAAAGTAAGGAAGCAGGAGATGGCAGTATCTGCCAGGCACCGCCCGGGACAAACCCCACGGTCAGTGCCAGCCATGGCCTGGTTCATCCTAACACGTGGCAGAAAAAGGCTGGTGATAACTTAGATGCCACTTAGGGGGCTGCTTAACCAAATCGTGGCACAAAATATATGTAGCCTACAAAACATGATGTAGTCATGAAAAACAGTGAGGGAAATTTGTACATGTGGACCTAAAACTATGACCACCGCAAACTAAGTGAAAAACCAGAGGACAGATAAGTGAGGTTTGCGGCCGTGCGGGCTCGTGTGGACAGAAAGCAGGTGCGCGCACAGGCGTGAGGAAGTGGGCAGGGTGCGGCAGGGGTGCGGGGTGTGCAGGCGGCGGCGCTGTTCCCCGTTTGCCAGCTGCATTTGGGCTGTCCTAGCAAACGCGTGCTGCTCTCGCAACGAAGAAAAGATTCGGTGAAGCAAACAGGCCGAACAAGTGCGGAGGACCCGGCTTCCTGTCCCGTCCAGGGCTTGGCAAGCCTGGGCACTGGGTCTCCCGTGTGCCAGCTGTGCTCAGGGCAAGCGTGAGTGTGGGCGGAGGGACGGACATCAGGCCTGCCCAGGGTGGCAGCGTCGAAGGCCACCCCCGATTTAGAGAGAGACAGCTGGGCGGAGAGAGAAGGAAAAGGGCTTGTGCTGCCGCCTCCTGCAGCCCCCGGGGGCTTGGCACACAGGGGGCGCCGTACCTCCGTGCCCCGCTTCAGCAGGCTCTCGAAGGAAGGCCAGAACTCTCTGCAGAGGGCCTGCTTCAGCTTCCGAGGCAGCGTCTCGCCTGGTTCCCGGGAGCCCTGAGCAGGGAGAGAGGCGGAGGCAGGCGGGTCAGGCGCCCAGGGACCCGCCTCCACTGGCCACCGGCCCGGCATGGGCGGCCCGCCAGAGCCCCGGAGCCACAGGCGGACGAGCGTCTGGCAGCCTGGCTATCTCAGGCCGGAGTGACATTGCCCAGAGCCCAGTGCCCACGTCAGCCGCCGGGCAGCAGGCGTGGGCTGAAAGCACAGCCCTGGGGGAGCACACGCTAGGCACTGGCGCCTCCCGGGGCGTCCACCAGCCTGGCCGCCACCCGCTCATGGACATGGACCCTGTGCCTGCACTCCCTGTCCCCCACCCATCCAGGGGACCCTGCTTGTTATTGGAAGTCCCTCACAGTCCACATCATGTCCATTCTGCTTGGGCCCTCACGACACCCTGCCCCTCGCTAAGCTGTGGCAGCTGGACCTGTGCGAGCTCAGCAGACGCCCCTCAGGGCCTATGCTGGGGACCCAGAGCCCTGGGCTCCGTGCTGGGGCCTGAAGACCTGCCAAGTGCCTGGCTCTGCCATTAACAGCCACGGACAGTGTCCAGAGCTGTCCAGGGCAGTGGTCGCAGGTGGCTGGAGTTCAGTCAGTGGGTGGGTGGGTGAAGGACCAAAGGCTAACGGACAGACGGCTCGGCGGCTTACCCCTGGCAAGGCCCAGTGTTCTGAGAGGGGGTGCTTCACCACCAGCACTTCCAGCACTTTCTTTATGCCTTTTCTGCAGATGGCTCCGTCCTGATTCCTCCTCCACCTGCGGGGGACCCGGCTCACACCTCCCCTCCCGGGACCGGCTGTCTCCTTTCCTGGACCCGCTCCCACTCGCCTGACCGCTGGCCGGCCTCTGCGAGAGTGGCTTTCAGGGACCCGGCTGTCCCACACTATGAGTCTGGAATCGTGGTGGGATTATGCGTATTTTCAGTCTGTGGCAGCGGTGGGCCCTGGCCACCGTGTCCCTCCTCCCAGGGCTCTAAGGGAAGGGGAGCCGGCCGGGGACACTCCTCCCTGTGTGCACCCCACCGTGAGGCTGGCGCCAAACACGAGCTGTCTTCTGGGCAATCTGGGTGCAGGGGAAAGGCCCGGAATGAGTCCCTTCCGGGGCACACGGGTCACCGTGTGTCCTCGTCACGGCGTACTCACCGAGTGACCACAGGCTGCAGTGTGTGGTTGGGCCCGAAGCGACTGAGGCCCCCGCGACCACGCAGCCCTGTGCGGCCCATGGGGTTCCTGGGGCGGAGAGGGATCTGTTCAGCCTGCCGCCTGCCACCCAGACAGCCAATCCTTGGGGACCCCAAGGGGTGAGGTGGGGGCTCCAGGTTGCCATGGGGTCAGTAGGAAAACAAAGAGGTCTGTTTGGGAGCAAAAGTCTGGCCCCGCTGCAGACGAGCAAGGTGTTCAAGTGGCCGTCCTGTGCCCCAGAGAGCATGTGAGCGACGCAGGGCACCACACGGCAAGTGTGAGGGGGCACGGGGGCAGCATGGGGTCAGGGCCAAGCACCCAGGCATCAAGGCCATTTATAAGGACCCCGCCTGGGGGACCAGGCCCTGGCACACGGACTTGTCCCTGCTCCCCAAGGCTGGGCACTCATACAGGGCCTGCGGTTTCCCGGCCGGGCAGGGCTGGCTCCTTCCCCCCCAGCCCCCCAAGTCCTATTCGGAATAACAGATTCTCACACTGGGGTGGGTGCATGTGAATTCACACTAAAACGGGAGGAAGACATTCATCATCCAGGTCCACCCTGCTGCTCTCAGCCCGCAGGTCTAGCCCATCGACTAGGTCCTGGCATATCTTTTATACAGCCTCCCCCTGGTCCAGAGCATTCCAGAGAGGCAGCACCGCCTGCACCCTCAGGCCCCTCACTCCCGCCCATGTCCTGGCCCTCCGTGGCCCCTCCTGATTCCTCCACTTGGGGGCCAGGCAGGGAGGCTCCTTTATCTCCGGGCCCCCGGTGGGCACACAGTAGGCCTGCACCGCGGGCGGGGTGGCACTCACAGAGGGAGCCCGTCCCGAACTGCGTAGCTGCCCTGGAAGCTCCTACGGTCCGTGGGGCCGTCCACGGCGTTGAAGCGGACCTGGGACAGGGGCTCCAGGGTGCTGGGGGGACACCAGCACCTCAGACCAGGGGGAGGGGGCAGAGCTGTGGTGACCACGCCTGGGAGGCCCCCTCAGCCACACGACCCTTCCCCCCAGCGTGTCCTCCGCCCTGGGGGACGACAGGGCACCCCATCCAGGCAGGAAGCAGACGCTCGCCCTGCGCGGGTTCCCGGCAGTCACTGTGGAGCCCTGGGGTCCCTCGCCCTCCCGCCCCGGGCCGTGACGAAGGCGCACTCACTTCCCCACGGGGTCCACCGAGTCTCTGTCCTTCCTCTCCGCCGTGTAAAAGGGCGGGTCGTAGATGAGAAACTCCGTCTGCACAAAAGGGTGGTTCTCCCCTCAGACTGTCTGCTTCTCCTCCAAGCACTCATAGCCCAGGACCCCGAGAGCACCCCAAAGGCAGCTCTGAGCTGGGGTCGACCTGGGGGACCCAGCCGAGGGACTGGCCACAGAGCTGGTGGTCTAGGGGAGTCTCCCCAGGACAGGCAGGGGGCTAAGCTGGACTCGAGAGGTGAGAAGGGCTCCGACTGGCAGGGATTAGGGTGCAGGCAATGGAAGCAATAGCTGGGAATATTCTGGAAAAGCCAGAGACAAAGCCTGTGGGGTGGGGTGGGTGCCGTTGTATCTAGGTCTCTCTCTGTGTGCCCCTTCTTCAATGCTTCCGCTCACCTGGCACTCACAGAGGGGGCGGTGACCGTGCACTGGGGACAGTGGGAGCGAGGGCAAGTGGGGTGACTAGAGGCTCCTTGTGTGGGTCAGAAGCCCACCGGGCAGCCAGGGCTCAAGTCTGAGCTCCAACACCTCCAGCTGTGTGGACCTGGGTGCCTGCGTTTCCTTATCTGTCCAACACGACCCTGGGAGGCTGCAGCGGGCTAACCCACCCCCGTACCCAGCTGCGTGGGAGGCTTTGGGGCAGGGCGGCTCCCCACTAGAGCACCGGCCACCTCAGCCTGGACAGCACTCACCTCCCAGGGAACCTTCTCATTGGGCACAGGGAACCGCAGGACGGGGGAGTCGGGGTACATGAGGTGCCGGGCATTCACATGGGGGGCGTCGCCCAGGTCCTCCACTTCCTGCCTGCTGTCCAGCTCCAGACCCTGCCCCTCCGAGGCCTTCTGGGGTGCTGGGGATAGCCACACGTGCCATGGGCAAAGCCGGCAGGGCTCAGGCAACCGAGCCCGCAGCATGGGGTATCCCCTGGAGTCCTTTCCCCAAAACTGGGCTGCCTCCCCCACCCCCAGCCCAGGTCCAACCCCAGCCCTGACAGGACACCCTCCCTGGGGCCCCCAGCACTGCAGCCTTGGAAGGACGGAGACCTGGGGTCCAGCAGGGAGCGTGCCCCGGCTGGCACCCGCCCCCCTGGGCAGCTACTGGCAGGGTTCTCGGTAACCAGCTGGGCTCACGGCCCTCTGGGAAGCCCGTCCACTGGAGGGGGCACCTCTGCTCCTTCGGGGCCAGCAGCCCCCAGGGGTCCTCGTGCCCAGTTCTTGGCTGGCTGCCAAGTCAGGAGCACGGACTTTGCCGTCTGTCACCCAGTCCCTGTGACTGGGTCTCAGGCATCTCCTGGAGTTGCCCCCTTACCAGCACAATGCACAGGAGGAGGGCGGGGCCCTGGGCCACATCTCTCATTGGAAGTAGGGACTGGGTCAAGTTGGGGTGAGGGCGGGCCCAGCTGCACTTGGCACTTGCTGGCAGCCTTCCTCCAGGCCCAGCAGGAGCCCCCAATGGCTGCCTTGTCTACTCCCTACAGACCCAGACTCAAAGGAACACGCCACCCACTCACCCAGGGTGGGGGGTTCCTCCCCCGAGCCAAGGCCGCCGTCCCTCAGGGTCTTCACGATCCAGTGCAGTGCTCTGGCCGTCTGCGCCACCTGGAAGGCACGCCCCAAACAAGGGGGGGTCAGCACGGGCCCCCACAGCACATGCACCCCTCCGCCCGCCTGCTCCCCAGGCAGCCACCGACACCGCCAGGGCCCCGCTGGGAGGACTGAGGACAGCCAGGGGCCACTGCTGATTCCCGCAGCCTCCTCCCAGGTTCCGGGCACAGAGTCCCTGTAATGGCGGCCGTCTCAGAGGACAGTCCGAGGAGGGAACCAGAGTGTATTCCTCAGACAGGGCATGATGTGCCCACCTCAGTGCAGTCATTGGGGGCCGGAGGCGGGGGGGAGAGTTGCCAGGGAAATCATTGGAAGAACTTTCTGGAGGACTAAAGGTACCGATTCCCATTGGGAGCGGCTGCCCGACATTCCCCACCTCCTTTTCTGGGTTGTTTTCCGGCATTCTCGTTCTCAAAGCCCCCGCTCCGCAGTGACCAGCCAGGCCCACCAGACCCGGGCCCCAGAAGCAGGCCCCACCTGGACCCACCTGCTCCTCCAAGGAGGACAGTCTCTGCTCCATGGAGCCCGACTGCTTCAGAAGGTCCATTTCCAGCAGGTTCACCATGGTGTCCACCCTGGAAGAGGACACAGCTGAGCCCAGCCGGCCAGACTCACAGGCCGGACGGTAAGGAGGCGGGCCAGCTTGCAGGCGGGCAGCCCCGTCAGACCAGCAGCCGGGCTCTGCGGCCTTAATGTCTGGCATCCCCCTCTTAATTTGAAAGCACTGGTAATATGTGTTTCTGTATTGAAAGCACGCTGCCTAGTGCCCGAGGGGGACCATCTCGGAGCCAGCGGACGCCTCGGGCTCTACAGCCACTCTGACAGCCAGTGGGTAGTGTCCCTGTCACCATTTCACTGATGAGCCGAGAGAGGTGTAGAAAGGCAGGTGTCTGAGGAGACGGAGGGGCGCATGCTCCTGGCTGCTCCCTGTCCGGTGGCCCCAGGACGCCCTTCTCCATGGCCTGCGGGGACCTCCATGCCAGGGGCAGGAGCTACCATGACTACATGGCACCATGTCCCCTCCCTCCTCCTGGCCCACAGTGAGACACACGGTGACAGTAGGACCCAGTCGTCCTAAGTCTGGGGCCCACAGGGCTGAGGGGTGGGGTGGAGAGAAGGGGGCAGACAGATCAATCCCCAACCCCCACCTCGCCCCCTGGAAGGTAGTGGGGCGGGAGGAATGGGGAGCAGAAGACCATGCCGAGTGGGCTGGAGCTCTGGGCCGGGCCACCAAGACCCTACAGGAGTGGCACCACGGCCGTGCACCGTCCACCCTCGCAGGCCTCCAGCGGGCCTCCTGCAGGCCCATCTGCCCCTCCTCCAGCCCACGCCACCCCACCCCACGCGGCCTCTCAGCGCCAGCGAAGGGAGGGCCGTGGTCAGACAGGACAGGGCTCAGGGCCCACAGACGTGCAGGGGCTGCCACAGGGAGGTTTCCGGCCGCACGTGAGCAGCGCTGGGCCTCCCCCAGGTGGGCTCTGTCAGTCGGCCGTCTCAGAACCCGGGGGCTGTGCCCCGGCCTCCCACACCTGTTGCTGATGTCCTGCATCTTTTGCTCCGGCCTCTGCCTCTGCTGGTCCTGCAGGCTCTGCAGGTAACTCTCCTTCAGGTACATCTCCCAGGACAGGAGCACGGACTCCTCATTCTTCTCCAGCTTGTTCTCTGTGCAGGGAGCAGACAGGGCGACCTGGCTCCGCGTGAGGACAGGTGAGGTGCGGCCCGGCCAGAGGGCCCCACGGGGAGGGTCTGTGCCTGAGCACAGGAGGAGCCCGCCCCACCCCACCCCGCAGGACCAGTGTAAGGTCAGTGTCCTGACTTGTGTGCACTCTTCCCGAGCGTCCTGGATTCTAGAAGGAGCCGCCACGCCTACCCCAAGCCCACATCCGGTCCCTAAGACGGCCGAGAATGCGCTCTGGGGGCGGCCAAGGGTCCGGCTTACTGAGCTGCTTGTGTCGCCTGGCGGGTATCTTGAGGATGACCCTCTTGATGAAGAGATGCAGATGGCTGAGGAGGATGAAGGGGGGTGGCGCGGGGGGCCGGCCCTGGTACTCCTCGATCAGGCCGTGGCGTTGGAACTTCCAGATCTGGTCCGTGTGCTCCTGGACCTGCTGGAACGTGTAGCTGGCGGGAGGCAAGGAGCGCGCTGGTCACACGAGGTGGTGACACGCGGCACGAGTAACGGCACCCGTCTCACTGCCGGGGCCTGGATGACGGCTGTGAGAAGCTGACACGCACCCCCGGGAGGGCGGTTCTAGGGGCACAAAGAGACGGCTGACTAGCCGGATTCAGACTTCGGAGCTTCTTGGGAGCCAACGTGCGAACAAAGAAAGAACAACTAGATTTTAGGGTTTATAAACCTCGTTAAGAGACAAAACAAAGCGGACATTTGTCAGGGGGTGGACGTCATCCTGGCATTGAACTCTGACAAACAGAAGAAACGGTGTTTCAACAGTGGACACGTTTACTGTCTGCACGTTCGTCGTCTTGCATGGACCCTGACAGCGCCAAATCGAAACGGACAGAGGCTGGCGGAGGGGAGGGGAGGCTCGCTACGGGGACAGAGCCCCTGACCACTGGCCCCTGTGGCCTCTATGTCACAGTTCCAGCACATGTTGAGGGACTGTCACATGAAATAAGAAAGTGACAACCTCAGCAACTTAGCTGATAAAAGGGGAAGAGAAACAGTGCCTGTCTAAACCGAGAGTTAAAACCTTCCACAGTGGTCACAGGTCCCACAGGCCCTTCTGCAGAGGCCGGAAAGAATGCGAGAGGCTGGCCGGCCAGCTGAGCTGGGACCCGAGAGGGAGCTGCCAGCCTCTGCCGGCCACAGGCGGGCTGGCCCTGGGACCCTGCCTCCTCTGGGCTTCTTACACAAACGAACGAGATTGTCCTGCATCGTAAGAGCAGCATTTTTACTGAGTGCTGACATGTGTTCCTCCGTATCCCGAGGTGACCTCAGGGCACTGCCCCGTGCAGCCCGGTTCCCTCAGCTGCAAAGCGGAGGCTGCAAGGAAAGCTTTCACCTTTAGGACGTTATTTCATGTTCACAAACAATTGGAAAAATAGTGTTTTCTCCAAGAGGACGGAGGCTGAGCAAAGCTAAATGAATGTCCTAAGAGGCCTGGGTGCGAATTCAGCTGCTTCCATATGTGACTGTCCTCGGCCCCTCCAGGGAGGCTGATGTCCCTGTGAGGCACCCAGAGTTTCCACAGGCTGGTCTGTACCATGGACATGGAGCCCCCCCCCCCCGCAGCCCCACTGACTCCAGGAGCAGGGAGGAGCAAGATGAGACGGGGCGCCCCCGCCATCTGTGGCCTCCCGCAGCACAGCCTGCAGGCTGGCATGACGGGTGCCACTGGCCCCCCAGCAGCAGCGCCATAGACAGACACACAGGGACCTGGTAGAACGGCCGGCACCACCCAGCCTGGGTTGAGCAGAGCGCCTGGGAGCGCCGGGGGCCTGAGTCCTGGGCTGCAGTGCCACACAGTGGTGGTGACAGGAGGGGGACAGTGGTGACGGGGGCCGTGCGGCCTGGGCGAGCCCCCGCCTGCGCGGCACTCACTTGAACATGGCGATGAGCAGGTTCAGCAGCAGGATGTTGGTGAAGAGCAGGTACAGGCAGAGCAGGGTGACCGTCAGCCACTCTGGGAAGACGGGCTGGTGCCGGCTGGCGTCGCTCTCCGGGCACTTGGGCTTGTACGGGTCGGTGCCATTGGGGCTGCACTGGTCTAGGTTGAAGTCCACGGCTAGCAAGCGGTGGGGGGCAAACAGCAAAGAAAACCACTCCGTCACAAGTCTGGACACCCCAGGCCTGGACACCCGCCCATCTGGGGGACCTCGGCTGCCAGCTCAGCCCCAGAGAAAGCCCAAAGAGAGGTGTCTGCCACAGTCACCTGTGGTGGCCAGAGAAAGCCCCAGAAGCCAGACCTGCTCTCCAGGCTGGCCCGTGCCCCCACCCAGGACCCCGCCGTCCCCACCGGCCACTCCCTGGGCCCCAGGCAGGGGCGAGCACCAGGAAGCACAGGCCCCCACCTGGAGAGCCCATGTGGTGGGACAGAGCTCAAGGGGCGAAAGCTAACAACTATGGCGAAGAGACGGGGCATTGAGGAAGGGGCCAGGAGCAGCGGCGACACGCTGACACGCACAGCAGGCCACCACAAGCCACAGTCCTCACTGATAGAAAAGCAGAGGACATATCCAGCTTGTGCAGGAAAAATATCTCAAAGAAACACACTAAGTTGTTGGTAGTGATTCACTCCGGGAGGCAGGCTTACGGACGATGTTTTTCTTTATACTTACCTTGAATTAAACATTTTTTCAGCAAGAATGCACTATTTTGAAATCAAATATGTTTTGTTTTTTTTTTAAAGATTTTTATTGGGGAATTGGGGGAATGGGAACAGTGCTGGGGGATTGGGGAAGGGGAACAGACAAGTTGCTGTCGTTTTGTTCTTCAGTCTAGTTGTGGAGGACACTGCTTCACTGGCCCAAGTTGGCACCATCATTGCGCTCTTCCCGGGCGAGGCAGATCAGTCGCCGGCTTCTGGACGGCCGCTCACTGCGGCGGCTGGCCGCTCACGCTGGCTGCTGGCTGGCTACACACGGTAGCCCATGGCAACCCACTGCCACAGGGACTGCAGCCTACGCCGTCGCCAGCGACTCACGGCAGTCCAGCTCCAGGTTGAGCTGTTGTTCAGCATCTTAGCTGTAGAGGGCAGTGTCACTGGCCCTCATATGTGGGATCCGAACCGGGGCCCTCTGGCATCCCAAGCGAGTTCTTAACCATCGCGCCACTCGGCCGGCCCGAAATCAAATATGTTTTTGCAAGTGTTATTAATTTTCTGATAAAAACTCACTATAATAGCTATAAATGCCTATATTAAAAAGAAGAGCTCAATACTGTAGCCTTCCACTTTAGTGAGCTAAGAAGAGAAAAGCAAACTAAACCCAAAGCAGAAGGAAGGAAATAATAAAGATCAGAATGCAAATAAGTAAAATAAAAAATATATAAAAACGACAAAGAAAATCAACAAAACCTAAATCCGGCTCTTGGAAAACATCAACCAACTAATTAAATTAAAGAAACCCTTTCATTAATTACAACGCTGTAGCTCGACTGATTGAGGAAGGAAAAGAAAAGCCTCAAATTTCTAAAATCATAAATGAAAGAAAGGACGTTACTACCAATCTTACGAGCATAAAAAGAACTATAATGAAATACTACAAAAACATATGCTAACAAATTAGACAACTTAGAAAAATGGACAAATTCCTAGAAAGACACAAACTACCAAAAGTGACTGAAAAAGAAACAAAATATAAATAGACCTATAACAAGTAAAGAGACTGAATTAGTAATTTTAAAACTTCACACAAAGAAAGTGCAGGCCCAGGTGGCTTCACCGGTGAATTCCACCAAATGGTGAAAAGAAGAATGAAAACCAATCCTTCACCATGACTGAGAATATGGAGGCACAAGGAAGAGAATTTCCTCCCCGTGGGAAAGGGTCCCAAGCCATCCAGAGGGTACATCTGTGTGGCTTCCCTCACTCTCCCTTCAGCTCCCACACTGGCCTTTGTAAGTAAATGCCGTGGTCTTTGTTTGGGGAACGGGGGAACCTTCACAAATTTTTTCAAAATACAAAAGAGGAGGGAATATTTCCTAAGTCATCCTGCGAGGCCAGCATTACCCTGATCCCAAAAGAACACAAAACATTACAAGAAAACTATAAACCAGTACCCTTTATAGAAACAAAACTCCCCAACAGCAGGCTAACAAACTGAACTCAGCAACGTGTAAAAAGAATTACACACCTTGACCAAGCGAGACATACCCCAGGAAAGTAAAGTTGGTTTAACATCTGAAAATCAATTAATATAACACACCATATTAACAGCATAAAGAACAAACACCATATGCACATTTCAATAGATGCAAAAACAGCATTTGACAAAATCTTTCACAATAAAAACACTCAAGAAGCTAGGAATAAAAGGGAACTTCTTCTACTGGATAAAGGGCATTCACAAGAAACCCACAGCAAGCATCATACCCAGCAGTGAAAGACTGAAAGCTTGCCCCCTAAAATCAGCAACAAGATACAGATGTTTGTTCTCGATACTTCTATTTAACATTGTACCAGAGGTTCTAGCAGGATAAGTAGGCAGAAAGAAGAAATAAAAGTCACCCAGATTGGGAAGGAATGAGTAAAAGTATCTCTGTCTGCAGGTGACACGATCTCCCGCAGAGCAGATCCCAAGGGATCCACTCAAAACTACCGTAACTAATGAAGCGGTTCAGTGAGGTTTCCGGATACAAGCTCCGTATACAAAACATAGCATATTTCTATACACTAGCGAGAAGCAATCCAGAAACAAAGTTAATAAAGTAATTCTAGATACAGCAGCATGACAAAGAATAAAACATTTTGGAATAAATCTAACAAAAGTAATGCCACGTAGACACTGAAACCTACAAATTGTTACTGAAAGAAATTAGAGATATAAACAAGTGGAAAGACGTTTCATGTCCACAGTCAAAATCCTAGATGCCCTTTTTGGAGAAATTGATAAGCTGATCCAAAAATTCGCATGGACTCAAAGGACCCAGAGGCCAAAACAATCTTGAAAAAGAAGCGAGTTGAAAGGCACACACCTCCCAGTTTTAAAACTTGCTACAAAGCTGCAGTAACCAAGGCAATGTGGTCCCGACACAGGACAGGCGTAGAGATCAGTGCAACAGAACTGAGAGCCTAGAGAGAAACCCTTTCATTAATGGCCGACTGATTTGTGACAAAGGTGCCAAGACACGTCAATGGAGACAGAACAGTCTTTTCAAAACATGATGCTGGAACAGCTGGATATTTGCACACAGAAGACCACTATACACAAAAGTTAATTTAAATAGATCAAAGGCCCAAAGCAAGAGCTAGAGCTATACATGTTTAGAATAACAGCACTGGCCTAAGTCTTCCTGACCATGGTTAAGCAATGGGTTCTTAGATATGACACCAAAAGCACAAATGATAAAAAAAGGTGGATCAATTGAACTTCCTCAAAACGAAAACCTTTTGTGCTTCAAAAGACAACATAAAGTAAGTGAAGGGACAGCCCACAGAATGCCAGAACATGTCTGCAAATCATATATATGGTAAGGGACTGGTATCCATATGTAAGAAAAACTCTTACAACCCAATAAAAAGGCAAATAACACACTTGAAGAATGGGCAGAGGATAGGAATAGACATTTCTCCAAAGAAGACACACAAATGGTTCAGTAAGCACACGGAGAAATGCTCCACAGCTGTCAGGAAAAGCAAACCAAAACCACAGACATATGTACTTCTCAGCCGCCGGGGTGCCAGGGATAAGAAAGAGACAGTACCAAGTGTCGACGAGGACATGGACGAGTGGGAACCCTCATGCACGGCTGCTGGACAGGTAGTGCGGCTGCTATCTGACAGTCTGGCAGCCTCTCAAAAAGCTAAACCTGTCACCACATGCGTGACCCAGCAGTTTCACTGCTAAGCGTTCATCCAAGAGGAATGAACACACGTGTCCGCACAGGCACTGCTAACTGCTCATCGCCACGCTGCTTGTGGTAGCCAAAAAGTAGAAACAACTCAAATGTTCACCGCTTATGAATGGAGACACAAAATGTCCTCCTTCCAGGGGAATACCGTGCAGCCACGAAAAGGAACGCAGCTCTGATGTGGCTGCTGATGGATGGGCGTGGGGAGCACCGTATATGGGAAAGGAGACCACAGGGCACATTACCCAGGTTTTGCACAGTGTGCAGAAAGCCAAACCCTACAGCGATGGAAAACCGAGGGCTGGGGAGAGTGGTGGTGACCACTCATGGGTGAGGGGTGTCTTCTGGGGGTGAAGCTAATGTTCTAAATTTAGATTCTAATTTTAGATTCTAACCTAAAGAGTTAAAGAGTAAAGAAAAAGCTCAGTGAACAAAAAGCGTTCTCTCCATCCAGAGAAGGGGAAATTATTTCTGACCGGTGGAAGGGAAGGAACAGGGTGGCATCAATGCTGGATGGGGATGTCAGCTGATGTCCCAAGCCACACCCTTGGCCCACCTGGAGCTCAGAGCTCAGCGGTAGCAGCAAGGTACAGCTCAGTACCCCTCCCTGCCGGCACCCCAGCGGAGGCCGCCGCCCAAGGGGACCATGGTGTAGCTGCCTCCCACGACCCGGGGAACTCTGGGAGCTCCTGCCCCCAACGCAGTGCTGAGCAAACAGGAACCACCACCATCCGCCCACCCAGTGTGATGAGGTGGCAGGACCCCTGCTGGGCGGGGCCTCCTCTGCCCACCCCCCCACTGTGAGTGCCACACCCACCGTCGATGTAGGCTGGAATGTGTCCGAAGATGGTGAGGTACGACTGGTACACGACGCCCCGGAAGATCCAGTCCACCCGGCTCTCGTTGTGGATGAGGATGGCCTGCTTGGCCACCCCGAAGGACACGACCCACACGGCCAGCAAGAAGATGAAAAAGAAGACGTCCTTCATCTGCAGAGACAGCGGGCACAGCTGCAGCCATTCAGCCCACACGCTTCCTGCCCACAGGTGGGCTCTCCCTCCATGCCTGGCCTGCGACCTGCAGGTGCTCAGAGCAGAAGCTCCGGGGAGACAGCCCTGGGGCTGCCCCACGCGCTCAGGGGGTGCTGGGCACCCCGTAATGTGGCCATGACCCACAGAAGGGAGCACCGAGAGCTGTAACGGGATCGGGGGTGAGCTGTGGAGAGCAGGGAAGGCTGCCTGGAGAAGTCGACATACGGGCACAGGCCTGGGATGGGCGTGCTGGGACGTGGGGGCCCAGGGGCGCAGCGGGGTCGCGGGAGCTGGGGGTGAGCTTAAGCCCCGTGCACCCACTTGCCACCAGCACGGCCCCTCCCCTTACCATCCGCTTCAGGATGATTATCTTGGGCCCCAGCGTCTTACTGATGGTGAAAATGTGCATCAGCCGAAGACAGAACATGATGAAATCCAGAGACAGGATGATGCGCCCGGGGTACAGCAACGCCGGTATCAGCCTGGCCGAGGCGGAGGCGGGGGCCTCAGCTCCCGGCTCCCAGGGCCTGTGCCCAGCCTCCCGCTCACCTGCCAGAGCGCCTGTGGGGCCCCGGGGTGGGGTGGGGGGGGGTTCTCCATAAAAGGTCGGGAAGCCCCGCCTGGGAGGGGCAGCCAGGCTTGCAGGCGTTCTGGGAGGGGGCTGGGCCCGGTCCCTCACAGTTCGTGGAGAAAGGGGGCGTGGCATGGTGTCAGAGAGAGAGAGAGAGAGAGAGAGAGAGAGAGAGAGA